AGGCTGGCCTTGAACTCACAACAATCCTCCTGCCTCAGCCTCCTGAGTGCTGGGATTACAGGCTTGTGCCACCACGCCTGGCTTGAATGTTCTCTGTAAATTTTTTTTTTTTTTTTTGTACTGGGAATCGAACTCAGGACTTTGTGCTTGCCATGCAGGCACTTATACCACTGAGCTATATCCCCGGCCCCTCTGTAAATTCTGGATATAACATATCAGCTTGTAATTGCCAAGTATTTTCTTCTAGTTCATGCTTTACCTACTAACAGTGTCTCCCATGGAGTAGAAATGACTGATTACTTTTTCATTTATGTATCATGCTTAAAAAGTTCAAGAAATAACACTTTAGAACATGAACCTATAGCCAGGCATGGTGGCACACACTTGTAGCCTCAGCACCTGGCTGAGGTGGGAAGATCACTGTGAGTTTGAGGCCAGCCTGCGCTACACTATGAATTCAAGGCCAGCATGAGCTACATAGTGAGACTGTGTCTCAAAAAACCAAAAGCCAAACCAAACAACACACACACACACACACACACACACACACACCCACCCCAAAACAAACAAACAAAACCCAGAATGCAAAGCTATATATCCTAGGGCAGGATTTAGAAATTCATAGACATAGAGTTTTCCAGGGACTCACAAATAGAATAATTACAGACAGATTCTTAGTGCCCTTTAGAAAAGATGGTGACCTGTTCTTACCCATCTGACGTTTTGCAATGCTGAGGAGGTAATATACTGCCAGGGAAGCTTGTTGTACGATGGTGAGATCCGCGTGGGAATATAAAAGAGACAGCTCTGCTGCCAGGACACCTAAACATGGAGCATCAATACTTGTCTACAAAAAAAAAAAAAAAAAAAAAAAAAATTAAAACTGTCTATGGAAACAAAGGAGAAAATTCACTTGTTACGCACAGTCCACACTAAATGTCTGCATCTGAGCCCTTAATTATCTGAACAGAATTGCAGGAGAAACCTCATAGTTTTAAAGTCAGTATTCAAATCCTAGTTCTGTTACTGAATCTCCATTTTCTCATCTGTGAAATGAAGGCAAATAAATGGTACCTTGTAACAGTCATTGCAGAGGCACAGGGGGAACATCCATGACAGAGAGCTCCTACCTAAGTGCTGAAAACAATAGTAATCAACTAATATTAGTTTCTAGTACATAAAGCAGGTAGTAGCAATTTGTAGGCACAAATGCCTAGGATAGGGAGGAGTCGGATGGTGTGTGGGTTTCCAAAAATTTTTTTTGAGGTAGTATCTCCATATGTGCTCAGCCTGGCCTTCAACTTACTAGGTAGTCCAGGCTGGCCTTGAACTCAGTGGCAATCCTCCTGCCTCAGCCTCTCGAGTGCTGAGATTACAGGCATGCACTACCACACCTGGCTCAAAAATCTTTAATGTTGGGCTGGGGAGACGGCTCAGTGACACAGCGCCTGCCTGGCAAGTGCAAGGTCCTGAGCTCAGCTTCTGGTACCAAAAAAACTCCCAAAACTTTAATGTCCTCTTTTCACATATGAAACACTTTAGGTGACTCTGTAAGTGACAGGAAAAATGTGATTTATTTTTCCTCCTGGAATTGGTCTCACTCTTCTCAAAGAAATTTATTTTTTAAAAACTCAAACCATTTGCTTCTGATGTAAAAACTATTATCACAACATTTATGTATTTTCTCTGACCACTTCTTTGACACATAGGCTGCTCAAATATTTAAGACCTTTATCTGGACAGACATGTCTGGTCAAGTCAAATTCAATTAGAGAAGGAAATACAAATATAAAGGAAGAGGGGAGCAACAGAAGAGAGATGGGAAGAAGAGAGGCATGATCAAGGAGAGATTCACATTTATGAAGGTATGGAGATCTGTCCACACAGTTTTAGCGAACTGGGGGCATGGCCTGCAAGGTGCTCTTACCCTAAGGTGAGAGGTTACTTTTCCTGGATGGGTACTTTGGTGATTGAGAGCGTTTTAGCAATATGAAGGGAAAATGTAAAAGGCTGATCTACATCCTTTTTCTAGTTGCACTGCTAAGGTCTGAAGCTAGGGCTTCACACACGCTAGGCAAATACTTGACCACTGAATTACACTCCTAGCTCTCTGATCTAGAGTTATCGCCTCATATGTTTGGCATCTGTTTGTACAAGAAGTAGAAAATGGACATTGTCTTAGTCACTTTTTTATTTCTGAGACACAATATCCAACACCCAAAGTTAGGGATGAAAAGTTTATTTTAGCTCACAGTTTGTAGAGGTTTCAGTCCACAGTCAGCTGGCTCTGAGGCAAGCTGGCATGGTAGAGGAGAAACAGTCCATGGTACAGCAGGCAGGAGGCAGCAAGCCACGGAGCAAGCCTCCCTTTCCCTTTCATTGCATCCAGGCAACAAGCCTTTTGGTTGGTGCCAACCATACCCAAGGAGGGTCTTCCTATTATCCACACCCAGAACTATGCTAAATCAATCGGCAGACTAATTTGATACCAGACACCTAGATCCAGCCAGCTCTGAGTACATGAGTCTTTAGGGGGACATGTAGATGCAAGGTATAACAATATGTGAAGGTGGCATCACAAATGCTTATTTCTGATCCCTTTTATACATAACTACTTCTGAAGTAACTCAAGTAACCATATATGTAATTAGTAGAGCATGTTTTAAAATTCCTTGAAGGATGAGTTGGGAAGCAGAAGCTAAATTCCAAATATACATATAATGTGAGGTTTCTGAGAAAGTAGAATGATGTCATTCAAAGTTCAGAGAACTTTAGTACACACCAAGTTGTTTCCCATGTGGAAGTCAACAGTTAGAGGGCCTGATAGTATTCCAACATTTGCAAAGTTGTCAGAAAGTATTTCAATAGTCACAAGAATATGAACTGGAAGGCAATTAGCTTTAGTAAATTAAACTCATACTTTTTGACCTGCCCATTATATTTCTAAGCATTTCTGGGTACACACTCACATTCACAAAGATGGTCATTTGTATTGTCTGAAGTAGAAAAAAATTAAATTTCAACTTAATATTCATCAACTGAAATGTACCTAAGTAGATCATAATACATAATGAGGGCCGGGGATATAGCTCAGTGGCACAGTGCCTGCTTGGCAAGTGCAAGGTCCTGACTTCAATTCCTGATACCAAAAAAAAATTTCATAATACATAATGACTATAGGATATACACTGTGTTTGAAAGAATGAAACAAACCTACAGACATTACCATGAAATTATCAGTGGACTTACTGTTTAGTGAAAAAAATTCCGTGCAGAGCCATATATGAATATGATGTTGTAGCAGAAAATGCCTCCCCCTGCTAGCCAGTATGCTTCAGCTTCCTAGCTGCCCAGGTAATAGTTGCTGTCCAGTTCTGGTTGTTTCTGGTCTCTTAGAAATGGCTGGCCACGGTGATGCATGGCTGGTCTGTATTATGCACACTGTATAAACCAGTCCCCAATTGACAAGCCATTCTGCCTCTGTATCTCCTGCTTGCTTATCCCATACAAGCCCTAGACCACCAGAGATCAGGGCCTGCTATTCTGGGAATGCCTCCAATCAGTGTCCATCCACATAAATAAATCTGCCTCTAAATCTTGGATGTTGTTTCGGTGTTTCTGTTTGCAATGTGACTTTTATAAAGAAACACAAGACAATAAAGCTGTCTATGTCACTGTGTGTGTGTGTGTGTGTGTGTGTACATGTGGGTGTGTACATGGAAAGGGGGTTGGCTGGGCACATCACACTGACAGGGCTAGAGATTGGGTGGTGTGGAATGAATAGTAAAGATAGACTTATGCTCTAGTGTTTTATAGTGAAAGTTCTTGACAACTGCTTGCATAAATTTAAAACAAATAACAATTTAAAAATATCTCAGGAAAAAAGGAAAACATAAGAAGGAAGATTATTATTATTATTTTTGTTTTTGTCTTTTTGAGACAGGGTCTTGCTCTGCAGTTCAGGCTGGCCTTGAGCTCACTTTGTAGCCCAGGCTGGTCTCAAACTCGCAACTATCCTCCTGCCTCAGCCTTCCGAGTGCTGGGATTACAGGCATGTGCCACCGCATCCGGCTAAGAAGGAAGATTAAAATAGAAAGAATTATAAGGTTACAAATCACCCTGATTATGGTCCACAGAGGGCAGTAAAGACAGCCGCTGAAAACCTGACCTTAAAACACTCATATTGTTTCTGTGAAGTATGGTGCATCTTAACCAATTGTGTGAGAAATCCTGCACTAATTGACTCAAACTTGGGTAGGATATTGATTCCTTTCCAGATACCCTAACTTCCAATGCAGTAATAACAAGCAGGCATCTAGCGCTCTTAAGGCCTAAGACATGGAAACCAGCCTTCTAGGAATTCAGACTCAGGCAGCATTACTGAGTTCTGTGACTTACATGTTCCCTGACTTTCCTGGATGCAAATCTTAACACCTTGCTGATGATCACCAGTGGTTTCTCTTGCAGGTACAAATTGTCTTCTCTCATCCACACCATCATTTCCTGTTGGAAAAGGCAGACTCATATTAGAGCCATGATATTCCATTTCCTCAGGCCCCCTCCTTCTACCCTCCAACTTCCACTCAGAGCCTCCCTCTGGTCTCCTCATTAATCCACGCTTAACCCAATCTTATCTCCAAAATACAGACAAGCAGCGAGTGTACTATCACACCTTCAAAAGTAACCACATATGGGTTCTATTATATTTAGTTCTATTCAGGTTATTCATGTCCGGTAGAGTCACTTTGTCAGGCATCATGAAAAGTTTAGTATGAGGCTATGATATGACAATCAGCTGCTTCACCCCCTTTTTCTTTCAGTATACAGTCTGTTTTTTTTACAACCATAGAGCTGGGTGTGGTGGCGCATACCTGTAATCCTAGCACTGGGGAGGCTGAGGCCGTGAGTTTGAGGCCAGCATGGGCTGCATTAGTGAGTTCAAGGCCAGCCTGCACTACATAGCAAGATCGTCTCAAACAAAACAAAACAAAACAAAACAAAACAAAACAAAACAGAACAAAAAATTGTAGAATCTGCTTTGCAGCATTAAAAGAGAATTGAAATGTTATTTGATCCTTAAATGTCATCCTATCCCAAAATTCCTCTGCGAATTCACGCCCTCCCCCTTGAGAAATATTCTGAATCTTGGGTAGAGAGTATGTTACTGGGGGCAGCTTACTTAGAAACTTCCTTCTAATTTTGATTCAAATCTTTCTGCTCATTATATTTGTTCTTAACACTGCAAGCAGGGACATATGCACCACGAAGGGGAGGGAATACAGCTACACATGGCCCATCTGCCAACCACCCTTGGCAGACTCCTTCCGGCGGATCGTGGAGTCCATTGTATCTGTGCCAACAGCTGCTTAAATCTCATCCCCTTCGCCCGCTCCCATTTGGCATACTGTTTTGAACTACAGTTTCCAAGGAGGAAGCATGTCTAAACCTCAGAAAGGTCCAATCCTGTCTTCTCAGGGAGTGAGATTTCAGCTCTCTGTGAGAATCAAGCTTCCCGGGGGTTGGCAGGTATGAAAACAAAGTGGTGAAGTCACAGGTTCCCAAGTTATGCAGCTTCCCCTGCATAATATTAGCTTTGCACATATTATTGTTTCTCTCTCTATTTTCCTAACTCCAAAATGGGAGAGATATTAGCAACTTTCTCATAGGAGCATTTTAGGGACTAAATGAGATAACCTGTACTTTCATGTTAGTGCCTGATTAAGAAATGCTCAATAAATGGGCTCTATTTTGATAGCAGCAGGGGGTGGTTAATAGAGAATGCAGGGGAACAGAGAGAGGGGGGGGAGAAAAAGAATCACTTTAAAGAGTTATGAGGATAACATTCTTTAAATGCACAAAGAACATTTGGCTCCATTTGGCCACATTCCACGTTTTTGTTGCCCTTCAAATTCTTTCCTGTTTTCAAGGGTACCTGTCCATCTTCTTCACTTGGGTGTGTTTGTGTTTGACTTGCACAGCCCATGGGTTCTCTGGTCGGATAAATCAGTCTGTTTCCTTAGTGTTTCCAGACAGCAGAGGCCTGGTGCCATCATGTTACAAGTGCAAAATGAAGAACATAACGCATCACTGCTATAATCTGTCTTTGGCTGGGACATTAGAAATGCAATGAGTTCTTGGTTGTGAAAAGAAGGGTTTTGGTTAGTTTTGTCTTCATTTGATACTAGTGTCACACACTGGGGTGGTGATGGGGCCCCTAAGGCCCCAGGCAGCCCCACCCTATTGTTTTACTGGGCTGAGACCACCCAGCGACTCCCACAGGTTGAAACTCATGCCTGTAGCTCTCCCTGCCTGGAGTTTCTCATCGATGGCTGTACAGTTCTTGGGGCTGCCCTACTTCCATGGCCACACCCCACACTCCCTAATAGGAGCCCTCTGCAGTACCTCTGCCCCTGTGACAAGTCTCTGCCTGCACCTCCAGGCTGCCTGTGACATCTTTTGAATTAATATAGGCAGAGGCAGCCACGGCTCCACAGCTCTTGTGTTCTGTGTGCCTGCAGAATTTGATCCTGACAAGTTATGTGGCTTGCATCTTCCAGAATGGTGGGTTGAGTCACATGTAGCCTCCCTGAGTCTTGGCCTGGGTAGTAAAATAGCTGTGCTGGAATTCAGGGAGCAGAGTTCTCAGCTGGTACAGGGAAGGACATGCTGAGGTCCAGTGGGCATCTCTCTGGAAACCTGGTCCTTGAGGGCCTAGCTTGTTTCCAAAATGACCTTGAAGGTCATTTTCCTACCATCCTCATGAATAGAACCTGGCTTTCTTCTATTCATATTAACCTGTTTAGCCAACAGATGCTTAGCCATATCTTTCTTCACTCTCAAGTGTGTTAATTTTCCACATGGCCAAGCTGAAAGTTTTCCAAGTATTTCCGCTCTGCTTCTCTTTTCTTCATAAATTTCACCTTTAAATAATTTCTCTCTTCTCTCATTTTACTATGAACAGTCAGAAGAAACTGTGCAGATCCTTGAACATTTCACTGCTTAGAGATTTCATCTGCCAGATGTCCTAGCACATCGCTCTGAAATTCTGCCTTTCAGAAGATGTTAGAACAAATTTCTTTCTTTCTTCTTTTTTTTTTTTTTTTGTCTTTTTGAGACAGCGTCTTGCTATGCAGGTCAGGCTGGTCTTAAGCTCACTTTGTAGCCCAGGCTGACAACAATCTTCGAACTCACAACAATCTTCCTGCCTCAGCCTCCCGAGTGCTGGGATTACAGACATGTGCCACCACTCCTGGCCTAGAACACAAATTTCTTCTATATTTTTATAACTATGTAACAAAGATGGTCTTTTTTCCAGCTTGTGCTATCTGCTTCCTTATTTCATTCTGAGATTCCATCAGAATATCCTTTACTTTCCATATTTCTATCACCATCCTGATCATGACCACTTAAGTAATCCCTAAGAAGATTTTGGGTGGGTAAATTTATTGTCAATTTGGCTGGCTTAGGGTAGCTACCTCTGGGACTAGTAGAGTACACTTGTGGGCATGTCTGAATGGGTCATGGAGGGGTGACCTTGGATAATAATATCTGGTCGTTGGTCCCTTTGTCTCTGGTACTGTTCCCCTGCTCTGCTTCCCAGCTGTCATGAACTGAACAGCTTTATTCTTCCCTGCCATTCCTCCACGATGTTCCTGTCTTGGAGCCAGTCAACCATAGACTCAACTCTCTGAAACTGTGAACCAAATAAAACATCTCTCTCTTTTAAATTGGGGGTGTTGGATATTTAGTTCCAGCAACAGGAAAGCTAATAGAGAAAATTGGTATCTCAGAAGCAGGGTTATTGCTGTGACTCTACCTGACCAGGTGGTTTAGATTTTGGAACTGGATTGTGGATTTGGGACTATTTGAAAGTTTGTAGAAGTGGGCTAGAGGAGTTCTAGAATGGGTAAGCAGAGCTTAGTGGTTGATTTCAGTCAGAGCTCAGTGAACCAGAATGGTAATAGGAATGAGAACAGTAGAGGCTAAGCTCATGAGTTTCCAGTTGGGAATGAGGACTCTATTGAGAAGAGGTTATGTATGTTATACTCTAGCCAAAAAAAAAAAATTGATTACATGTTGCTTATGTCCTAAGACTTAGAATCTCAAGATATGGGCAAAGTGAGCCTGGATTTAAGGGTGATGAATTCATCTGACAGAGGAAATTTCAAGGGAGTCCAACATTCAGGCTGTGGCATGGGTGATAGTAGCTGCTTTTGGCCAGATGTGTGTTATGTGTGCAAATGTGTGTATGTGTGCACATGCATACACATGTGTGTGTGTTATCTCAAGACCTTTGTATTGAGCTACATTCTCAGGTCTTTTCTTCTTTTTATTTTAAAACTGGGTCTTGCTAAGTTGCTAAGCTGCCCAGGCTGGGCTTGAATTTTCAGTCTTGCCTCAGACTTCCAGAATACTGGGATTACAGATGTGCACATCTCTATCACATCCAGGCTGGCCAGATTTACAATGGGAATTAGGAGCAAAGAGCCGAGCAGAAATGTTTGGAAAACCTAAATCTTGGTCTCAGAAGACCTTGTATAAAACTGGGGCCAAAGGAAGTTGGGTGTTGAAGAGACAAATGCTACTAAAAGGAAACCAAGTACTTTGATCAGAGAGAAAAATAAAGATACTTCGAGGGGATTTAAGGAATCAGCAAGACTCCATCCATCACAGGCTCTAGGGTACAAAAGTATAAACCTTTTACTTTAGAAGAGAGCCCCTGGGCCCCCTGTTCAAGAAGGGCCATCTAGAGAATTGGTTCCCTGGGATTCATTTCATTATGTTCAGAAGCTATGTACTCAGAAGCCACTGCAGCCACAGTCCAAGGTGGCTTGGCTACTGCTCAGGCTGGTGGTAGACCTTGGCATCATTATGCTGAATTTATAGGCATGCAAAGTGCAAGAGTTGTGGGGTAAGGGAGGCTTCCACCAAGAATTCAGAGGAAGACCTGGGAGGCCAGCCAAGGAGACCCTACATAAAGCTGTGGGAATGAAGCCAAAAAAGTGCAGTAGAGATCCCTGGTTGTTGGAGATGCCAGGAACATGGAATGTCTGTCAAGGAAAACTGCATGCTACAAGTGGAACAGCTCAAGAGAGAGGCTGTACGGCCTGCAACTTTTAAGGCCATAGCGGTGGAGCTGCCCAGATCCCTGAAACTCACATCTCACCAGCATCTGCACATGGACTGCTGAGCAGTACTGGAACTGTTGAGACTTTGGGGAGAGGATTACTGCATGGTTCCTACCATGCAGGTTCCACCTGCATGGTTTCTTTCTTTCTTTCTTTCTTTCTTTCTTTCTTTCTTTCTTTCTTTCTTTCTTTCTTTCTTTCTTTCTTTTTTGAGACAAGGTTTCACTATGCAGTTCAGGCTGGCCTTGAACTCACTTTGCAGGGCAGCCGGACTCAAACTTGCAGTGATCCTCCTGCCTCAGCCTCCTGAGTTCTGGGATCACAGGCATATAATTGGGATTACCTCCTGAGTGCTGGGATTACCACCATACACCGCTGATTATTGCATTGTTGAATGCAAGATAATTATGTCATGATAGGCAGAATTATTAACTTGTTATTGTATGTATTTAGAGATTAAGTATGGTTTAAGGAAATATGTTTAGGTGTCAAGCTGACAAGGGGTGGGGTGTGACATTTAACCTTAACTGTCTGCCTGATTGTCTTAGGAGCCACCTAGGACACTGGTGGAACTCTGTCTGGGCGGGTCGTGGGAGTGACCCTGGGTACTATATCTGGTTCCCGGATGTCTTCCTCTGCTCTGTGTCCTGGCTGCCATGCACTGAGCAGCTTTGCTCTGGGACGCCCTCTGTCCTGATGTTTCTGCCTTGGAGCCAGCTGACCAAGGGCTAAACCCCTTCCTTCAAGCTGTGATATGTAGTATGTGGTCTCAGCAACAGGCAAGCTGACCAGTACAATAGCCCATAGTGTTCTGTTCACAGCAGTATAAGCTTTTTCTAGCCTGTGCCTTCAAATTCTGTCAGCCTCATTCATTATTCCGTGCCAAAGCCACTTTCACGTTTTCAGGTATTTTTTTATAGGAATGATCACATTTCTTGGTACTGATTTTCTGTCTTTGTTCATTTGTATTGTCATGACAAAATATCTGAGCCTGGGTAATTTATACAGAGCAGAGATCTATTTCTTAGAGTGCTGGAGTCTGGCGAATCCAAGGTCAAAGAACCCGCATCTGGTAAGGGTCTTCTTGCTACATCCTTCCATGGTAGAAGGCAAAGGTGAGGACAGCAAAGAAGAGAAAGCACAGCAACAGGGCAAATTCACCCTTTAATTAGGAACCCACTTCCATGGTAGCAACATTAATCTGTTTGTGAGGGCAGGGCCCTTATCAACTTTTTATTTTGGACTGGGAATTGAACTCAGGACCTTGTGCTTGCCAGGCAGTCCCTATGCCACTGAGCTATATCCCCAGCCTCCTAGTCCACTCTTAAAGGTTTCATCTCTCAACACTGTTGCTTTAGAGGTTTTTTTTTTTTAATTTTTGGTTTAGAGATTAAGACTCCACCATATGAACTTTGGGAAACACATTCAAAGCACAGCAAGGGGTATTCATGCAAACAGGCTGTCCAGATGATACCCTGCTCTGAAGGTGATGGGGAAGAATCATGCATATAGACACTGTCACTGTTGTGGAACTGGTACCAAACCAAATGGAGCTGGAAGGCAACCAGCTTTATTATGCCAGTGGGCTGATGGGGAATTGCTCCCAAAGTATCAGCCTAGAGCCCGCTTTGGGCTTAGTTTATATAGGTTTGGAAGCAGGAGATACAAAAGCTTAAAAGTGTGGTGAGTTTTACTGGGTAGCATCAGTTATTCTTCATTACGTCCTTGAAACAAGTTAGCAGACAGGGTATGTTTGGGGGCAAGAAAGTACAGGCTGTGCAGCTGGGTGCAGTCAAACTGAGCTGGGTCAGATTATTTCTGGTTTAGTCAGTCAAGGCTGAGTGAGTCTAACAGAGGCGCTACATGGTGGACTGCATGATTTTTCTTTCTTTCTTTTTTTGTCTTTTTTGTCTTTTTTTTTTTTTTTTTTTTTTG